TTTTTTTCTCAATTTTATAAAGATAAACAGATTTTAGGCTTTTCCTTTAAAGTACATTATTTTATTTTCTTAAAATTAAAATACTTTATAAAAAATTCACTTGAGCTGTTTTCTCATTTTTCTATTCTATTATAAATCTAGGAAGGAGCGAATTATAGTACTGAGTGCTGTAAATAACACTAGATCTGATAATTTAATAAATAAATATCATAAATAAATACATTTAAGCTTAATACCTAGAAAGTGTATTATATCTCTAGATAATACGCTCTTGCCTAAATTACTTTCCATGGAAAATTTTAAATACAATTTGAGTTGATTTTGAATATTAGTACTAGAATAGCTAGAGCGTGAATATCTAAGAAACTGATTGGATTGATGACGACGTAAAATCGCAATGAATATAAATATATATACAAAATATATATAATATATACAAATGTAAACCCTTGAGTTATCAATACTTATAGCAAAAGATACGCAGCTATTGTTTCTATATTATTTTATTTTTGGCAAATAATCCTATCTAAAGTTTACAAAGAGGCAAACAAAATTTTAATTTAATTGATAAGCTTGACAGAGTTACTAAAGACACTCGAACACATGTGCTCTAACCCTAATTTTGCAGACGTCATTCCCGAGCGAATCTGTATATAAGGGGCAGCTCGAACTGACCAGATTATAGTCTTCATTGAAGTCAACATGAAGGTACTCGTCGTATTCGCTTTGGCTGTGGCCTACGCCTCGGGATCGGCACTGCGTGCTCCCTATGAAGTGAACGTGGAGCCTGAGCTCCGCAATGTCTACGTACCCGCTGTGGATGGACTTGATGGTCGCATCACCAATGGACGCGATGCCAGCCCTGATCAGTTCCCCTACCAGGCTGGTCTTTCTCTGAGAATTGGCAACTCCGCCGCCTGGTGCGGTGGCTCCGTGATCGGACACGAATGGATCCTGACTGCCGCTCACTGCACCGATGGGTAAGCTGAAGCAGTTTTGCGAATTGACCCTCAGCTAATGCTTCTTTATCCATTCGTACAGTGTTGATTCCATCGATGTTCATTTGGGCAGCACCATCCGCACTAGCCCCAAGGTCAAGTACACCGTAGGCAGAGACCGCGTCATCATCCACGAGGGCTGGAATCCCAAGACTGTGTTGAACGACATCTCCCTCATCCGCATTCCATACACCGATTTCAGCGACGCCATCCGTGCCGTCGATCTGCCCCGTCTGGAGTCCCACTACTCCACTTATGTCAATGATGAGGCCGTTGCTTCCGGCTGGGGCCGCACCTCCGACTCCTCCAACGCTGTGGCTTCTCGCCTGCAGTACGCCGATATGAGAATCATCGCAAACGACGTTTGCAGGAAGTCCTTCCCTCTGAACGTCCGCTCCAGCAACATCTGTGTGTCCACCCCAGCCGCCGTCTCCACCTGCAACGGTGACTCCGGCGGCCCATTGGTCCTGAAGCACAACAAGGAACTAGTCGGTGTGACCTCCTTCGGTTCTTCCGCCGGTTGCGAGAAGCAGCAGCCAGCTGCCTTCACCCGTGTCACCAGCTACCTGGACTGGATCAAGGACAAATCTGGCATCTCCCGCTAAGCTGTAAAATGAAAGGCGTGCGTTTACTTTAGGCACTCGCCTTTTTCATTAAAATAAAGAATATACAAAAACGAAAAAAAAATATATATGTATATATATCGAAAGATTACTCTAACAATTTTCGACTAGATAGCTGCTGCTCTTGGATAATTTTTCTATGTAGATATTTCTGTATCCCCTATCTTCATATTCTATTCCAATTTTATGGGCCAAACAAATTGGAGTAGAATAAATTGACTCATTCACTGAGCTTGTCCTTCGGCTGGATTCTACGTTTCCAAAGAATTTACTCATTAAACTCGAAAAAAAATTTTACAAACTCTTATATTTTTATAATTTTTTTTATTGTTTTTCT